TTGAAATATGCTATTATACTTACATTACACATCTGTCTCTTGCTTTCTCCTATAGAGCAGCACTTTACTCTCTCCTCCAGCCCTGCTTCACTCCCACCTTATTTGATTGATATTTCCTGTCCTAATGTGTCTTATACCCTACCTCCTATAGACTGTAAGCTCATTTGAGCAGGGTCCTCTTCAAACTATTGTTCTTGTAAGTTTTCTTGTAATTGTCCTATTTATAGTTACATCCCCCCTCTCATAATGTTGTAAAGTGCTACGGAATCTGTTGGTGCTATATAAATGGCAATAATAATAATAATAATAATAATAATTTATTGTTTATACCATAATGCAAGTATAAAGAACCATCCATTTCTAAAGCAGAGGAATCAGTGAGTCTAATAACAATGATTTGATTGACTATTAAATACAAACTATTTTGGGTGTTTATTATCTCTGCAGAAAATCTTGCAAAATATATTACACAGAAGATACCATGCATGTGAAGAGTATGTTTTCCTATACAGGTTATAATTATTTATTGCAATGTACTACTTTTCTTTTATTTATTGGATCTGTATAGTTGTAAACTCACAAACCCAAAACCTTGCTAGTTACAAGCAGGGCAGGCGCAACCGTTAAGAGAACTAAGCATTCGCCTAGGGCACCGGCCTGCTGGGGGTGCCCACCGGATGTTTCCTGGTGGGCTGGCCCTGTCTGCGGCTGCTCTTGAGCTGCCCCCAGCACCAGGCCAATCCTCAAGGCACCCGAAGGTGGGGGTGGGGCTCCCGGCATCACAGCCTGGCTTCTCCTTAGCCCTCTCCATCTGGCCACGCCAGGGTGCCCCCAAAGATGTGCCAGGTAAGGCAAATCAGGCACCTGCTTACCTTGATGGCAGGTGCCTGCTCTGCCAACAAATGCCAGTGACCAGAGGAGAGGGCTAAGGAGAAGCCAGGCTGTGATGCCGGGAGCCGGAATATGACGTCATTCTGGCCCCGTGATACTAAACAGCGCGTTGGAGGAGTGAGGAGCTGCCACACACTGGACCCCAGGGAGGTAGGGAGGCTGGATGGGCCTCAATAAATAAAATTGTGTGAGTCTGTGTCAGTGAGTGTTTGAGTGTCTGCCAATGAGCATGTGAGTGTTTGACTGTCAGTTTGTGTGTGTGTGTGTGTGTGTCTGTCTGTCAGTGAGTGTCTTCCTGTGTATGTGTCTGTCACTGAGTGAGTGTATGTCTGTCACTGAGTGTCTGTGTGTATCTGTCAGTGAGTGTATGCGTGTCAGTGAGTGAGCGCATGCGTGTCAGTGAGTGTGTGTCTGTCCGTGAGTGTGTGTTTGCCTGTGTGTGTCTGTCAGTGAGTGAGTGACATGGGGGGAAGCAAAATGTATCTTGGCCTAGGGCGGCAGAAAGTGTGTCTTATTCTTTTATTCCTGTTTAACAATACTATCTTGATTCATTGGGGATATGGGCATTTCATAACAATTAATGGGAACATTATTTTTGCATATGCTTGCATTAAAGTGGCTCTGATGCCTACACGGCGCACAGCGTCATGATGTAAGGTTGTCACGCTGACAAGCGGGTGGAGGTGGAGCAAGATAATGAATATGCCAAACTGAGAATGCCATGCAGTGAAAAGACGAACTGAGTGAGACCATTTGAGAGATATGAAAACAGGAACCCAGTTGTGGGCAGTAATAGGAGGACAGGAGCCTGGGCTCGGGCAGCGGGAGTGCGTGAGACTGAAGGTCGGTGACGGATGGCTCTCCAGTGCCGCGATTTTGTGCCAGATCAGAAGAAGGAGTGACCCTCATGTTCCCCCTGAGCTGGGAGAGACTGACTGGGAGAAACTGGGCAGAGGCTTGACTACAAGCAGAGACAGGAGAATTGGAGCTCAAGCTGGGATTGCAGACAGGTGACTGCTGGCTATTTGGCACTGTGATATTGTAACACACTAGAGTGAGTAGTGAACAGCATGCTCTCCCTTGATGATTATTATATGTGCTGAGGGGCCTCCCTTATCACTCAATCAGGTTTGGGACCAGAAAGTAAAGGAACTGTGAGTAACAGAAAAATTATAGAGGAGAAGGAAACATAAAAATCTAAAAAGGAAAAGAAAGGTTATATAAAGTGGGGATATATCCCCTTATGTTACTCTTTTGCTACCTTATGTTATTGTTTTTGCCTTTTCTTTTTTTGTTTTGTTTTTCTGTGGTGTTTTATTTTTTTTTCACTCCTCTGCTCTCTCTAAATGGACAGCCCAATTGAAAGGATAACATTTAAAGGAAGCATACTACACTGAAAAAAAAAAAAAGAAAAAAGATAAATAGATAAAAAGGAGGAAAGAAAACGAGAATGAAAAGGAGAAAAAAGAAAAAGGGATAAAAAAAATATTAAACTTGAGTTGGAGATAACAAAGCTCAAAAAAAGAAAAAATGAAGGGAAAAAGAGAGGAAATGGAGGAGAAACTCAATTATGGCCACAAAAAAAACATCAACTGAAAGGAAAAAGGAAGTGAAAATTGTTAAAGTTGAAAAATTAGAGAAAAGACTATCAGGCTTTTTCCCTCCAATTAATAGCAAAAAATCTTCAGAAAACGATACATGTGATATATTTATAATGTTGACCAGGGAAGATCAAAAGGATAAAACTCCAGAAAATTTAAAAGATTCCATAAAGCAAAATATGGAAAATCAATTGCAAACATTAAAGGACCACTCTAGGCACCCAGACCACTTCAGCTTAATGAAGTGGTCTGGGTGCCAGGTCCAGCTAGGGTTAATCCATTCTTTTATAAACATAGCAGTTTCAGAGAAACTGCTATGTTTATGAATGGGTTAAGCCTTCCCCCAATTCCTCTAGCGGCTGTCTCATTGACAGCCGCTAGAGGCGCTTGCGTGCTTCTCACTGTGAAAATCACAGTGAGAGCACGCAAGCGTCCATAGGAAAGCATTGTTAATGCTTTCCTATGTGACCGTCTGAATGCGCGCGCAGCTCTTGCCGCGCGTGCGCATTCAGCCGCATAGGAGGAGAAGAGGAGGATCGGAGGAGGAGAGCTCCCTGCCCAGCGCTGGAAAAAGGTAAGTTTTTACCCCTTTCTCCCTTCCAGAGCCGGGCGGGAGTGGGACCCTGGGGGTGGGGGCACCCTCAGGGCACTATAGTGCCAAGAAAACAAGTATGTTTTCCTGGCACTATAGTGGTCCTTTAATGCTTGAGATTAACAAAAACTCCAAAGAAATCAAACAGGAAATTAACAAAGTAGCAGACGGATTAACCACCATGGAAGAGAAAATCAATTCATTTGAGCAAGATCATAAAAAAGCTGCAGAAAAGATATTACAGCTAGAGTTGAGAGTTAAAAATATGGATCTGAAAATAAATGATTTAGAAAACAGATCAAGTCAATCAAATATAAGGATGAGAAATATACCAGAGGAAACTGAATCCAACAATTTAGAGGCCTTTGTTATAAATTTCTTAAATGATCTCTCACTTGTTACAGTTACGTTTGAATCAAAAATTGAGAGAATACACCGTTTACAAAAACCAAAAGATATAGATGAATCAAAACCAAGAGATGTAATGGAGAAGTTTTTGGTTCATTCCTTTAAAGTGAAATTATTAAAAGTGTATAGAGAGCACCCAACAAAAAGCTCAGAACATTATAATATTGCAAGATCTCTCCTATCAAACAAGAAGATGGCGCAACACTTTTACTGCAAAAATTTCCATATTGAAACAGAACAATGTCAAATTCAGATGGGGCTTTCCGAAATCTTTAAGAGTTTTTTGGAATGGAAAAACAAACTTTTTTGATTCTGTTGAAAGCCTTGACAGATGGATCAAAGCTGAGAAAATAATTTAGTGCCACAGTTTTTAGTTTTTTTGTTTGCATCTGCACACTTTTTTATAAGAAATTTAGCAACATTTTTCTACCTCATTTGGTAGGTGATTCTGGTGTGTCCCCTCTCTCTCTCCCCCCTCTCCCTCCTGGCGCAATGTGCTGGGATGGTGGGGGAAGGACACACCAAAGTTTTTGGGGATATAAAAGTGATACTGTAATAAATGAATTAATAAGTCATGATTGGTAAAACACCTGAACACTTTAAGTGATTGTAAAAGTGGAATAGATATTAATAAACACTAGAATAAAAAATTACACTTAGACACTTTTTTTTTTTAAATTCTTTATTTAACTGTTAGCATTGACATAGCATGCTGATTTTCAGAGGTAATAATCATATCCGTTACAGTCATAACATTCACATCCCATACCAAACCCACTATCCACACTAGGGCAGACCGCCTCTCCTCTCCTATACCCCACTGTGCATAGCTCCGAGTCAGTGAATTGCTTATGAGTCCCCCCGGTTCTCCAGCTCTCGCTTTTCTTGCCAATGCCAGTTTTCTTATTTTAACCAAACACGAGATATACAGACAGAAACAAAAGACCAAAAAACAAAACAAAAAACACGTTTGTCTCCAACTCCCGAAACGCAAGCCATTCTGCTCCGCCCGGGCCATGGGCCCTCCATCGGTATCTCTCCCTCCCGCCAATTCCCTCCAGCAGGACAGCACAATAGTTGGCTATACCCCATTAGTGGTCTTTCCTTCATAACCGTGGCCACCCCTTTGTCTATGTTATGGCATTCTCTTCCGCCAACGGGCTATCCCTATCGCTTTCTAGAGAAGA